TCCCGCGCTTCTGACTGTACCCAGTGCATGTATAAACAAAAACAAACAAACAAAACAAATAAATAAATAAAGCATGCCTCTATTAAAAAAAAAAAAAAAAAAAAATGGCCATCCTACCAAAAGCGATATACAGATTCAATGCTATTCCAATCAAAATCTCAATGGCATTCTTCAAAGAAATAGAACAATTATTGATGAAATTCATATGGAATCACCAAAAACCCCGAATAGCCAAAGCTCTACTGAAAAAAAAAGAAGGAAATGGAGGCATCAAACTCCCAGACTTCAAACTATACTACAAAGCCATAATCATCAAAACTGCATGGTATTGGAACAAGAACAGACATACAGACCAATGGAATCGAATAGAAAATCCAGAAATAAACCCACAGATTTATGGTCAACTAATCTTTGACAAAGGAGCAAAGACTATGCATTGGAGCAAAGAAAGTTTGTTCAATAAATGGTGCTGGGAAAACTGGGTCGCTACATGCAAAAGAATGAAGCTTGACCACTACCTCACACCATACACAAAAATCAACTCAAAATGGATTAAAGAACTAGACATAAGACCTGAAACCATAAAATACATAGAAGGAAATATAGGCGAAACACTACGGGATTTGCACATCAAAGACATCTTTACAGACACATCACCCAAAGCAGTGATAGTGAAGAGAAAGATAAACAGCTGGGACTACATCAAATTAAAGAGCTTCTGCACAGCAAAAGAGACAATAACAAAAACAAAGAGAAACCCCACCAACTGGGAGAACATTTTTGCACCCAACACTAATGATAAAGGACTGATCACAAAAATCTGCAAAGAGCTGATGAGACTCAGCAACAACAAAGAAAATAATCCAGTCAAAAAATGGGCAGAAGAGCTAAAAAGAAACTTCTCTGAAGAGGAAATGCAAATGGCCAACAGACATATGAAAAAATGTTCAACATCACTTGTAATCAGGGAAATGCAAATCAAAACTACCATGAGATACCATCTCACACCAGTGAGAATGGCACATATTAAAAAAACTAGCAACAACAAATGTTGGCGAGGATGTGGAGAAAAAGGAACTCTTCTGCACTGTTGGTGGGAGTGCAAACTGGTCCAACCACTATGGAGAGCTGTGTGGAGATTTCTGGACCTACTAAACATAGAGCTTCCATATGATCCAGCAATTCCACTCCTAGGTATTTACCCAAAGGACACAGAAACATCAATTCCAAAGAGCACCTGCACCCCTATGTTTATAGCAGCACTGTTTACAATAGCTAAGCTTTGGAAACAACCCAAATGCCCAAAAGTAGATGACTGGATCAAGAAGATGTGGTACATATATACCATGGAATATTACTCAGCATTCAAAAAAGATAAACACATGCAATTTGCAGCAACATGGATGGCGCTGGAAGGGATCATGCTCAGCGAAATAAGCCAAAAAGAAAAAGAAAAATACCGGATGGTCTCACTCATAGCAGGAATCTAGAAAACTTAAATAAGGGACCAGGAAAATGAATATAAGAAAGTGAAAATCAAAATCAACAAAAAACTATGAACCAGAGACACTTTTTGGGGGGTGGGGGGCGGGAGGGGAAGGATTGGGGTCAGAATGGGGCGTTTGCAATTGTATGGGGGAATATAAAAATAAAATTTAAGATAAAAAAAAAAAAAAGAAATATGGAGGTATCACACACCCAGACTTTGAATTATACCACAAAGCAATACTAATCAAAATCATATGGCAATGGAATAAAAATACACACAGAAAAAAAAAAATAAATAAAAAATAAACCTCTCCTTTTAGGATATAAAAAGTAAATAAAAATTTTGTATAGGCAATTTATATCATCTGTTAATACAGTTCTTTATTTTCCCCATTATCATTTATGACCTTTTCCTGGCAAGTCTTTGCTCTGAAATCTGCTTTGGCTGATTTAACATAGCACCCCATGTTCCTTCTCTGCATATATGCTCATCTCCTTGAAGCATTTTTTCCTCCTTTTTGTCTGACTAGCTCTCTATTTGTAGGATTCAATTTAGATAGTTCTTTGTTCATATGGGAATGATTCCTTGGCCTGGCAAACTATGCTAGGTATCCTCTTCTATATGTTTGTGGTAATGCCTCTGATGACATTATCAGACTGTGTTGTAAATACCCGCATCTATATATCTCAGACTATTCCTGAGCAAAAAGATCATGCCTCTCTTATTTCTTGTTGGATCTTCTGAGCCTTTATGCAGTGTCTGGTGTATAATAGGAATTCAATAAATATTTTTTGGGTGGATGGGTCGATGAACATCTCACTGGCTCCTTGCATTTTTTACTATGATTATATCATAAGTCTTTCCTATAATGCTTTATAACAAACCTCTTTTTAAACATCTTCTGTAAAACTTTTTAAAATTATTTTAAAATAGGAACATAATACTTGTTACATGGATAGCTCATAGTTTTCATAACCATTTATTTTACATCTGGATTATGTAGGCTTTCCCTATTATAACAATGTCCTGAACTGATAGCTGTGTGTATTAAGTTGTCTATGCTTATTTCCATAGAATGACTTCCAAGGCCTCTTACTAATTTTACACATTGCTTTCCAAAAAGGTTGTATTGGTTAGAACTTTTGCCAATATTGAATGGAGATGGCTCTCTTGCTGTGGTTTCCCCAGCGTTGATTAGTCCCATTTTTAAACATCCTTGTTCGTTTGATTGGTTAAAAATTGTATCGTTCTGTTTGATTTGATCAAGGTGAGGTTGAATTTTTTCTCAGTTATTTGTAAACTATGTGTTAATTATACTTCTGGGAAGAAAACTATCAATATTTTCCACCCATGTATATGTAAGACCAGTTCAAATACATTTTTTTTGGTGTCTTAACAAGTTTGTTAAACATTTGAGCTTTTTGTTATGGTGTTATAGGACAGGGAGAGGGGCAGCCCAAACCCCGCAAACCTGCTTATTCTAAATGGGTTCTGCCATCCGCCGCATCAACACAAAACATATGAGACTTTAATGGGAAGGAACTTTAATAAAAACTAGGAAACAATATAGGTAAGGCAAAGAGTCTAGTTTCTAAATGAAGCACCCAAAGTTACCCGTCCCCTCGTGGGTAAAACTCCATCCATATGGGATTGGCCCAGAACAAGGCCCCAAAGCCTGCTACAAGTCTAAAGCATCTTCCAGTGGGGACCCACAGAAAAGGGTCACAAACAACCGGACAAGCCCGGAAGGAAAAGAGCAAAATCAACATCAAGATAAAAGCTGCCATTGTCACCTCCCCACAGGTCTCACCCACATCTGTGTCACCCAGTCCACGACCAAAAGACAAGCGCAGTTTCTTTACGTGTCTCTAGGCTCCATGTGCCTCCTCCAGGTCTCCTTCTCCATCCTGCTTCCTTCCTTAGTCTCTTCTGCAGCTTCTCCTCTTCCTGCTCAGCTCCACCCTCCCTTGGGTGGGGCAGGGAACCTGGAACCTCCTTTCCTGGGGACCACCCTGTTGCAATGGCAGATACCAATATCTAGTAAATCAATTGCCTCAAAGTTTGGATTAGTAGAATCATTCAGTTTGTCCTTCCTCCTTAATATTAGAAAAACACAGGACTTTGTGAAACTGTGCACCATTTCATAGCCTTTCTCATTGTCACACCCAACACTAGAGTAGTTTGTTTGCCAAAATAAATAGGGCTCTTCAGATCCTATGGACTTTTTCATTTCCCCAGAGGGGAAAATTACGAAACTTTTCGCAGGACCTCCTCCCTGGTCTTTGTCATTCCTCTGGTATCAGTTTTTCTGGGTTTGACCCAGAGATGTCCTCTGAAATCTCTGATGGGCCTAATACTCTCTTCAGCCCATTTTTGTTAGACTACCCCATTATAAAGTCATCTGCCTTTTTGTTTGAATTCTGTAAATCCTCATCTGGCCTTCTTTTATTTATTTATTTATTTATTTATTTATTTTGTTTATACATGCACTGGGTACAGTCAGAAGTGCGGGAGGGTGAGAGAATTCACCAGAGCCAGAGCGGGGAGCAGAGCAGGCAGAAGGACTGAAGTACACTGCTGAGGGGAGCAGCGGGTGGCAGGAGAGGTCTGCGCACCATGTGGGATCCTCCTCTGGTGGCCGGGGAGCAGCCGGGGATCGAACCGGTGCCTCAGAGGCCGCGGGCAGCTTTGCAGAGGCCGCGGGCAGCTTTGCAGAGGCCGCGGGCAGCTTCGCAACCCAGCGCTCAACCGCTGCGCCACCGGGGAGGCCCCCTGGCCTTCTTTTAGATAGAACCTGGAGAGTTCTGTCATCCTCTTTCCTTCCTGTTCTTATCCCACATCTCAGGCACTGATTATCAGTTTGGAACTGGTTCTGAGGAACTGGATGAACTGGTCAGGAGGGATGGGAGTTCTGGAGAACTGAGAACAGTATTTGCATCCTTAAGTTCTTATCCAGCTCTAAAAAACTTTGATTTTATTACCAGGGGACAAAATGTTATTTTTGTGATTCTAGAGATTATTTTTGTGAATACCTGTGAATAACTCTGAAATACAGTTGATCTTTCTTGGGATCTATTTGGGAAAAATAATGGGAAAATTCCTCCTTTTTGGGGAATTTTTATGAATTCCCAAATCCTACATTTCTCTTTTGATACATTATAAATGATAAAATTAGTAATTATTTTTATAATGCAGACCACAGAACAGTATATTCAGTGTTTTCTCTTTCAACATGGCCAGAAAATGACAGCTTGGATAAATTTTTTAAAGAGTGCAGAGAATTTCTTAGGCCTGGATAATGTCTAAATACTGAGATTATTTAGGGGGAAAATACGTGCAAAAACCATCAGTGCATTTAAGAAAATTTATTATTTAGGTTTTAATATGTGGGCTTAATTAAGTGTTTTTATTAAAAATCACAATTAAAAGTTAGCCTTTTGCTGTCTTGTGAAAGCTGATGCGGCCACTTTATAAACCAATGTATCTGGCTGCTCTGTGTTTGATTTGTTAGGTCTGGCTCAATGTGCTGAACTCTGCTGGCAGCTGAGAGGGGAAGCCGGAAAAAGGCAGGTTCCTGGTGCAAAGGTTGCTCTTCAGCATAATTTAGGCCTTGGAGGAGCTGTAGTTGTCACGCTGTACAAGATGGGTTTTCCTGAAGCCGCCAGGTAAGGGACATCCTATTTTTTTCTGGCAGCGAATGGTTCTGACTTTTTACAACTAATGACGGCAGAAAAAAAGTCCTAATTTTATTGTCTTATTATTCAAAGAATAAGTATCTCATTACAGTTGTTTTAATGGCATGACTTTAACACTTTTAAACTCACCATTAGCTTTTAAATTTAACCAGCCTTAGGAAAATTTTGTTCAAAAGGGAGGCAGCATGGTCAAAAGAGAGTGGTGAATTAAAAACCCAAGCTGGCTGGGTACTGGTCTCAACCCCTGCCAAACTGAGTAATTTTAATTTGGGCAAGTCACTTTTTGCTTTCCTTTCCCACGGTTTACTTTCTTCTCATAGCCTCCCAGGCTTCTGAGTTTGTTTGGAAAAAGTCACCGAATCCGCAGAATGAATTTCTGTAAATTTATGTTTCTGAAACCAGCTAAGCTGTCACTGCTGCTTCAATCCTTTTTATTTCCCTTGCTGATTTTCTGCCTTTCTATCAAATAAGTGTCTGTGTGCCTCTCAAATCTCTGAGCACTTTCTTTCCTAAACCTTACAGAATACCTCAACTTCCTTTCTCTTTTCTCAGAGAAATGCTCTGCTTTCCCAGAGGAATAATAGTCCCTCTTTCTAGACCCAGCTTTCTTTCCTCTTTGCATGCTATTATTTCTAATCACTTCTTTTCATAGCTTTGTTCCAGATATTATCCTTTCACATTCCTTTTTTTGAAAAAAAATCTTTCCATCTTTGCCTTTCCATTGGATCCATTCCCACTGTCAGCAAACATGTTTAGGTTTTCCCTGTTCTGAAGATCTGTTTTTCTTCTTGCCTTAATTGTTCTCTTTCACAGTGAGTCTTTTATATCGAACCACTTTTGTTTTTCCATACTGAAGTATCTTAGTCTATTTTCTGACTTCATTGAGGTCAGATAAGGCCACCAATGCTCAGATTATGAAATGTCCTTGTCTTTATTTCTCATCCTTACTCTCTTTAACCCTGCTGTAGTAGTTCTCAACACTAATTGGCACTCTTTTTTCTCTTGAACTTCTTAGTAATTATTAATTTTTTTCATACTTTTGGTTCCACAAAGATAATGAGACACATTTACAGAATCCATGATATATTTTACAAGCTCTTGAGTCTCTGTCTTCTTTCACTTCTTGGAATATAATTTCTATTATAAAAATTCTTTCTTTTAAGGCCCAGTCTCAGGAACCATTTCTTCCTTTTAGATATCCACAACTCTGTACTTCTTGGGTCCCTCTCTAAATTGGTTTAGCTGTAGTGTATTTAGCTTGTTTTTATTCCCTTTTTTGTATAAAATCCTTGAAACTTAAGACTTATTCCTCCCACCCCTGTGAGGATATCTCTCATAGTGAACAAATGTTTATTAAATCAACTCAAATTGGGCCTCCCCTGGTGGCGCAGCGGTTGAGCGCTGGGCTGTGAAGCTGCCCGCAGCCTCTGCAGCGCCGGTTTGATCCCCGGCTGCTCCCCCGCCACCTGAGGAAGGGTCCCACATGGCGCGCAGACCTCTCCTGCCGCCCGCCCGCTGCTCCCCTCAGCAGTGTGCTTCGGTCCTTCTGCCTGCTCTGCTCCCCGCTCTGGCTCTGGTGAATTCTCTCACTTCTGACTATACCCGGTGCTTGTATAAATAAATAAATAAAATAAAAAATTAAAAAAAAAAAAAATCAACTCAAATTAAAAAATAGTGAATTTTAAGTTTCCTCCTCAATCTGACTGTTTCTATAATGTTCTCTGAAATACCATCCAGTTTTATTTGGAGGAAAAGCCAAACTATAAAGGACTGCCATAGTGAGCACATTAGTATAGCTTTGTAATTTGCTGGGAATAGAAGATTATGATTTTTCAGCAAGAAATTCTACTTTAAACATGGAGTTATCATAGTTCTTTTATTTTCAGGAGATGAAATGTGAGATAAAATTGTTCACATTAACCAGTGTTGGTATTTCGGGGAATATGGAGTATGAAAAAGTTTAGGTGACATATTTATGACTGATAAAAGAAGTAGGCTGAAAATATGAAAGATGTTATTGATCCTTTTAGTGATAGAATATATCTCACTACAAAGGCCACAGTTGGGAAAATAACTGTGGTACAAATTGTAATTTGAAAATAAGGTTGTCATTTGGTTTTATTTTTATTTTTAAGATTATTTATGCATACATGAGCTGGGGTAGGCCAGAGATGGCAGGGGGTGGGGGCGGTGAGAAGATTCACCAGATACAGAGTGGGGAACAAAACAGGCAGACTGACTGAAATACACTGCCGAGGGGAGCAGCAGGTGAGACAGAAGAGGTCTGCTTCGCCATGTGGGTTGCTCCCTGGCCAGCTGGGGATTCAACTTGTGCTGCAGAGGCTGCAGATTGCTTTATAGTGCAGTGCTTAACCCCTCACGCCACCAGGGAGGCCCTGTAGTTTTGTTTTAATCAAAGTAATTTTAAGTATCCACTGCACATGATCTGATGTCCTTATTTTTATTTATTTTCTTAAAAGATTGATTGATTGATTTTATTTATTTATGCATACAAGAGCTGGGTGTAGGCCAGAGGTGTGGGAGGGCGAGGGATTGAGAGGATTTGCCAGAGACAGAGTAGGGAACAGAACAGGCAGATTGACTGAAATACACTGCTGAGGGGAGCAGTGGGTGAGCCAGAGAGGTCTTCTTCACCATGTGGGTTAACTCCCTGGTTAGGGATGGAACCCATGCCTCAGTGGCTGGTGATAGCTTGATAGAACTGAGACAACCTCTTGTGCCACCAGGGAGACCCTGATCTAATGTCCTTACTGCTATTTTTCTCCTTTAGCCAGCTTTGATTGACTAACTGCTGTATGCTTAGGCCTCTAAATATGACCCTCTGAGTATGTGAGGAAAGCAGATAAACAGTTTTTCAAAATGTGTAGCAATCCAGAAAAAGAAATTATTGTGAAGAAATAGATTTGAACTTGGATGACCAAGATTGCCCAATAGAAGGGTAAAGGAAGGGTATGCCAGGCCTGTACACGGGTAATGAGATTTGAAAACATAAGGAGCCTTGGCGAGTAGCTGTGTTTGGGAGTAGAGGATATGTTGTCTTGCAAATGTTTGGGTAGAGGGGTAGATCAGTAGTGTATAGATAACAGGCGAAGCAGCTGACAGTAGATTGGATCATAGTTTGGAAATGCTTCAGATGCTATGCTTAGGCGTTTGGAAGGTATCCTATAGAATATATTAGCAAAAAATCATATCACTATATTTCACTCTAGGTAGATCAACCTGCTGTTACTGGAGAATGGTATTTAGAAACGAAATGTGCTACTAGCTGGATGCTCACTGTTATTACTCCTAGGCATTCTCAGTGGAGATGCACACACACATACATACACACACAATATTTAATTTTATTTAAGGGAGATATTTAAGGAATACGTACAAAAATCTTATGTGATTTATATCTGCCTCTAGACTAATGTACTGACTAACATTTCTAACTAATGGTTAGAATGAAATTGTAAAGCTACTTATATGTCACCTGTGTGCTGCATCCCTTTTTTATAGATTGGAATTATCACAAAGACATTGTTAATCGATGAAAAGAGCACCTCATCAACTTTCCATCACATTGCCTGCTTTCAACAGGTTAACTTTACCTTTTCCTCAGTTAGAAAAGAGTGAAAATATCCACTTCAGGGATTAGAAGACTAATAAGCGAAACATAGCTAGCATACATCACAGTTGCTCAGTACAGTGTTGGTTTCTGATTTCCCTGTGCATTTTCCTTCTTTCCTGTGTCTTTGGGTAAGTGGTTGGAAAAAAGTTTTATTTATTAAATGATTAATAATCACCTAAGGGTTTGGGAAAAAAGGAACTTTAACCTTCAGTATACAGTGGGGAACATACCCAACCCATTGAAGCCCACAAGTTGGCTAAGGAAGGGATCTGGTCATGTTTTCTACCATATCCCTGTGAGGTTTTTTGACTTTCAATGCTCAGCTCTTTGACTGGATTTCTGTCTATGATGGGACCATGTACCTGTTCTGAGGTTAAGGGGAATTGCTGGTTATAAATTAACCTTACTTTTTGCCCTGTCCAACTATTTCTCAGTTGGAACTGAGTACTGGTGAAATATTACATGTAGAGATAAAGATTTGATTAAAGTGGAGTTGTCTGTATTTTTCCTAAACTTCAAAAGATTATTTTTAAAAAGATTTTAATTTTTTTGAAGAACTGGGGTGTAGGCCAAAGGTAGGGGTGGTGAGAGGATTCACCAGAGACAGAGTGGGGAGCAGAGCAGGCAGATTTACTGAAATACACTGCTAAGGGGAGCAGCGGGAGAGACAGGAGAGGTCTGCTGTACCATATGTGGATTAGCTCCCTGGCCAGGGATTGAATTTAGGCCACTGCAGTGGGCTGTCATGGTGATAGTGCTAAGACTTAACCCCTAGGCACCAGGGATACCCTGAAAAAATAATTTTAATAGCTTTATTGAAACATAATTCACATGCCACACAATTCATCCATTTTTTGATTGTCTGACTTATTTTTATTTATTATTTAAAATACATCATTAAAATACATACTACATCATTGTAGTCCCCATAGTTCTGTCACCATATAATCTGCAATCCATTACCATATTCCTTTGTGTTCTTTCTTCCCCTGTTTTGATCCCCAGTTCACCCATTTTAATTGTACATTCAGTGGTTTTTAGTATGTCATAGAGTTGTGCTATCACCATCACAATCAACCTTAGAACATTTTCATCACCTCTTAAAAGAAACACATACTCACTAGCAATCACTCCCCAATCCCTCCTCCTTTCAGTCTTTGGCAACCTGTAATCTACTTTCTATCTCTATAGATTTATCTTTTCTGGACATTCCATATTGCATGAGGTCTTTTGTGATTGCTGCTTTCTTTTAGCATAATGTTTTCAAGGTTCATCCATTTGTAGGAATGAATATAGCCATTCGTTCCTTTTCATGGCTAAATAATATTCAATCATGTGGATTCTAATTTATCTGT